TTTTCTTCACCGTACGCGCTGCGATCGAAATTCCGCAAATCTTACATCACTGCTTGCAGGCTGCAGGTCGCTGCAGCTGCAGGTCGCGCAGACGGCGCAGCGCAGATCCTGAGGATCCAAAAGCCGGACTCGACGGTGGCTGATCCATTATGAACTGTCATGGCTCGTGTTTAAATGTCAATCGAAAACGAATATCGTAAGACAGTGACAAATCCGACGCGTTTTGTCTTTAATAATGGCTGCGAAAGAAGATGCCACCATTGACGACGGTATCGCCGAGCCCGGCATTGAACCAGGCGCCTCCACCGAAACAATGCTCGTCACTACGGACAGTTTCGAAGAGTACGAACAAGAGATGAGCAGTAGCATTGACGATAAACAGATGAAGGAAAGCACAACGAGTACTATCTCGGAGATTCAAGAAGAGGTTCAAGACATTCCAACAATGCCCACCGTGCCCAATCAACGGGATCTTCAAAAAACGGATTCTCTCGAAGATAATGAAGCAGTACGTTCTGTAACCTCTTCATCTTATCGTTATTGCCAATGTACTTCAATTAGTAACGATTATCTACATAAATCTCGAACAATACATAATTATCGTTTTAATTCGATCTGGTGTTTGTTAATTGTTGAATATATATCATTTATGTTTCAGGATGATATTACTCATCGATTCGGTCAAAATAAAGTAGATTCTGATCCTTTACGATGCAAGGCATGGCTAGCACAAAAGAAACATATATTCATTTTAAGCCAAGCAGGGAAACCCATATATTCCAGATATAGTTCAGAAGATAAACTAGTCACAGTTATGGGTGTTATGCAAGCTCTGGTTTCATTCGTTCAAGCAGGCAGTGATATGATTAGATCTGTCCATGCCGGAGACACCAATTTCGTATTTGTCGTCAAAGGTCCATTGATTTTAGTTGCCGTCTCAAAAACTCTCGAAAGTGTACCTCAGCTCACATTACAATTAACGTATGTTTATCCTACACATAGAATTCATTTGACCAAAACATCGAACTCTCTTTATTGTACATTACAGATATGTATATAACCAAATAGTTTCTGTGCTGACGCAGTCGCAGTTAACTAGAGTGTACGATCAACGTAGAAATTTTGATTTAAGGAGATTGTTAACTGGTAGTGAAAGGCTGATAGATCATCTGTTAAACTTTATGGACAGAGAGCCAGCATTCTTTTTAGGAGCTATCAAGTGTTTGCCTTTACTACCGTCGATGAGGAGTTCCATCACGCAGACGATTATTCAAACCTGCGGTAAAATCAAGGTAACTCTCCCGCTTGAACCGCGCAGTTTCAAATTCACACAACCAAGAACATTCGAACACACACGAATCCTGTGAACTATACTAATTCAATGAATGTAACACGTTTCAGAATTTAGTGTTTGCAATACTTCTAGCTAACAACCAACTAGTGACATTAGTCAGAATGAACAAATTCTTTTTACACCCGGTGGACCTGCACATAATACAAAATTTGGTCGACAGTTCAGAGTCGCTTAAGACTGCTGAGAGCTGGACACCGATATGCTTACCAAAGTTTGACGCCAATGGTTACATGCACGGACACGTGTCTTACTTAGCCGAGGATTGTCAGGCATGTTTGCTGTTGCTCACTGTCGACAGGGACGTGTTTTTCGTTCTCTCTGAAGCGAAGCAAGTAGGTAGATTCCTCGCGATGATTCGTTGAAAATCATCGGTCATCATTAAAGATAATGATGGATTGTATTCATAGAAAATTGTAGAAAAATTGAGGCGAACAAATTGTTTAGAAGCGATCAACGAGTCGATGAATAAACCGCCAATTAAAACTGCTGACATCGGCTTACCAGAGATGAGACACGTGTTGTACAAGTGCAGAAGCACCGCACAGTTTTGGAGTCCCGGGTTTCAACCACCGTACACGACGGACGAGGAAATAGAACGGTAATTACGATATGGAATGATTCAAAATTGTGATGAATATGATGTGCGAAATACGATGTGTAATTAAACATGATCTATTTTAGATTATTGGGACTTTACCAGTGTTTACACCATAGGCTGCACAGTCCCAATCGACCATTAAAACTTATATTCCAGCAACTGGATAAAGAAACTATGTTGGCATGGGTAAGTTGAAGTAATGACTAAACTGCAGATTGTATGCAATTGTAACATAATTGAATATGTAGAAATGATAATTGTCGCATGTAATGTATAAAACAATTCGGAGTACCAAGAGCTGAATGGATATTTCAAGTCCTTCTTATCTCTGAACGATATATATATCGTGACTCGATACTAGCCGATTAACGCTTTCAGTGATAAATCTGATATCAATGGCTTGAGTTTATATATTAGCGTGATCAACTTATATAGATTATTCTGCTGTTAAAAGTTCGACTGAAAATATTTTAGCTAAAATAACATGGTTCAAGAAGAGCTTTAAGATCATTGTACCAAATATTTTTGTCGTCCGTCCTTTTCCAGAGTTGTTATCACCTTCAGTATTTTATACATAGACTTACATTTTCTACACCCATCTTGTAGAAGATACTGAAACGAATTCGGCAAGCATCACAAAAAATATGTCTTTCTGATCTAAACCAAAGAAATATTTAAAAAATATAATTTACCTTAATTGAATCGATGCTCAAAATGGTAGGAGTTTTCTTCAATTTTTTTAGATTCACAAAAAATTGGTATAAAAGAACCATAAGTTTGCCTATAAAAACTGAGAACTCTGAAAAAAAGTTGTTACAATCATCTTAAAACTTTCCTCACACCAAATTAATCATAGCTAAAAAGATTGGTCTAACTAAATGACCAAACAGATGTTTACCTAAAACATATCTTTTACATTGATACCATACATATTTCATTTTGTATAAAGATCCGCAGTCTAGTAATCGTATATGGCTTGTATAGTTTCTGCAAAATGCGTATGTTTCTTCTAGGTAACATTGGGTTTCGAACTGTATGTTACATTTGAACCTCTGGTAACAAAACCTGATGCGATCGAGGCAGTGAGTAAATTACTGAAATGGATAAAAAAGGAGGAAGAAAAATTGTTTATTTTGAATTCGCCCACATTTTAGACATCGATCCTAATTAGTTTTACGAAATGCCGTGGAATACATCATTCGATAGCTAAGATAAGGGAAATGTTGCATTCAGAATAAGTGCATTCACGTGTTTCTCGTGCAGTAATACTATACATGGCTCACTATTTTTAATTATGGAAAGAACTATAAAATAGGATATACATATATAGTGACTCCCATTAATATTCGGCTGTACATTGCAAAATAGAATAACTGTTTTAATATTTTATCAAACAACTTCATTTTCTTTCGGATACTAGATAGATTGATTTACTACATAACATGTAACAAATTATTGATAAAGAAAATGCTGCTCCTGAAGAAAATCAAAAAGAGCATGATTTTTATATATATAATTAGAT